CAAGTTATGGACTCATCTTCATCGAAAAAATTATTACTACAATGTCGAAATTAAAACCAAGGTAATAATTATTATTGTCTTCTCATAAGTTCTGGGACTAGAGCAATGAACATTAAATTTAGTGACCAGTAATCCAGATTGCTTCATAACACTTCAAATCACGCGCCATCAGCCTGAGCACATTTCTGCCATCTCTCAAGCGAGTCAATACCGCTTTTTGTAGAATTTTCTGAACTTTCTTTTGGTACCAAATTTGCACATCATGACCGCTCAACGAAGCCTATACAATTTGCTGCTTTACGAGTACAAATTGGGACGCGATGAATGAACCGCCCTCAAGAACCTCAACCGTGCAACGCTCAAGATTAGAGTCGAGGCAAACAGCGTTTCAATTCCTTGCTGACTTTTGCGCCGGCAACATCAATTTGAAGGGCCAGTTGCGCTCTTGACGTGATCAAGAGGCCGTCATCGAAGATTTGAAGAGGAACCAATCTTGACTATCATAAGGTTGGCCGACGATGTTGGCTGTGGTCATTCGACAATTAGCAGAATATTGGTTGATAAATTGGTATTTTCTCTGATGCCAAAACTTAAAAAAAAAAGACCTAATATAGATATAGTGAAAACTTTTGACTTTGCATAGTTTTCGCAATACGTATAAGGCCTGAACCCTGATGTTTTTATGTCATGGATTCAGACCGTCACATGCTTCTTCGGGGCAAGGAGCGCTCGCACTACACCATCAAGGCTCTCGCCCTGCCTTTTTCTTAGCTGTTTTGACCTAGTCGGTGGCTGCTAACAATTACCCGTCAGTGGATTCATCTAGGAAGCACAAATTGACTTTAAAACCCAGTTAGGCTAAATCCGTAGTTGAAATCACAAATTTTACTCTTTTGCACTGCCTAATGTTTTTGACGACAAAGTACTATGTGAAATATGTGAACCAAAAGAGGACTAAGATACTTGCAAATTATAAAATTTCGTTATGTAGTGAGGTCAAACTGCAAGTTGATTTTCTCGAAGGGTGGTTGCTGATAATCACCGATTTGGTTAGATCACGGCTAAAAGAAAGGCGGAGAGAAGGCCTCGACAGTGCAGCGCAAGCGCGCCGTCTCAAAAAGTTACAAAGGTGGGGTCCGAGTCCATGACAAAAAACACCAGCTTCTAAAATTTGCACTATCTCAACGCCCCAGTGGTCATACTCCATGTTGTACCGTGCCGTTAAAAAAATTGGGCAGTAAGAGGAAATGCACTTGTTTTAATTCTCATTATTTCTTCCAACAAATAATCCTAATTCTCAGACCAAAAAGTGAACTTGAATGTCCAGCAAACGACCCTTTCTGGAGAAAGCAGTACTACGTGCATACGTCTAGGAGAGTTTTACCGCCTGTAACCACTAACAGTGTAATTTTCAGGTCGAGAAAACTCACAACATCACTCCTCCTAAGCAAATCTCGAAAGATAGTATTATGAACGTGTGATTATTGACAAGCTAACTCATGTGTACGTGTTGACTGTCAGTTTCTATAAAAGCATAAATTTATGTGCGCATTTTACTTGATCTGCTAAGAACACAAAGACTAAGTAAAAGAAAAAACATAGCTGGAATTACATAACAACCATGAATAGTGACAACAACATAGAAAAGTAGCATCTATGAATCGAAAACTTGTACAGACCCAATATAACTCTCTGGAAATTTTACTATCAGAGAAACCACTCGTGCTCAAGACTGTACTGGTGGGGATGGCCAAAAATCGAGTAAAACATTCTCAATATCATTACCACAAAATGTAAGGACTAGAATACTCAGACAAACAAAAGATTGATATCACAGAAACGGCACAAAAAGCATCTCTGAGCAAAGAAAAACCACCTTATTTAATATACAGCGTTTTCTGGATAGGTAACACACTCGTGACCATGCTTTTTCTCACAAGTGAGAATAATTTTTCAACAAATCAAGTTCATAAGAAACGAAGACGATATTAATACTGAATTTGTTAAAGAGGTTCGAATTAGGTCCACCATTTTTGAAGTGTATATGATTTCTTTGAAAGTTAAGGAAAAAACTGAGAAAACCGACTGCTTTGTAGTTATACGTATTCGCAGTATATGCAGATGCAGGCGAAGCATTTCGCAATATTTTCATGTTCTGGAGAAAAAAATTTTGCCTTTCCAATCACTTCCTGCTCAAAAACGAAAAAAAAAAAAGAAACATGAGAAGAAAGACAGTTACAAAAATCCGGAATTTTTCTTAACAAACTGAGAGATTTCACATCATGTTGACAAGGATCTGTAAAACGCAGTGGTCCTCTATACACTGTGAGTTAAGATATGTTCGTTTAGAGTTGAAAGGCGCAACTTGTTCAAATGCATTGAAATGAATGCATGCAGTCATAACTGCGTTCAAAAAACTTATACAATGGTCCGATTTTGAGCGTCTCTTAACTCAGTAAGGGAAGCACAAGTCTTAAACAGATCAAGTGTTACAAATGACAAAGTGATGTAGAATCTAATTGAATCTAATGAATCGCTAGTTGGAAGACAACTTAAAAGGAAGCGAAAAACGACATCATATGTGGAAAACATGACGATATCACTATCGAACATAAGCTAGATGTATTGCGGTGGGTCTTGGCCAGTAAGCAAACGAAACATACTCGTCGGCATAGTTTTCATGTGAATCTCACCAATCGCCGTCGCAAGCATATTCACTATCCGATCATGAGCGACTGCCACCACCGACTGATTGTTGATTTCAATAATACGATGTCCAACACGAATTCCTCCTCTCTCAGCGATTCCACATGAAACAACACTTTCTCGGAACAGTTTAGCGTAACTTCCAGACAACACTTAGCGAGATTCATGGTTTTCCACAATTTTTCAAACATAAAGTGCAGCAGAACGAAAGGAAAAATGTTAACGAGAGAAAGCAAATAGATAGATTAAGTTTTGATAACATTCTTGCAAACACGAAATATCACTTCAATTCTGTGATCTTTTTTCCTCTTGCATATTTAGACGCTTGCTTACCTCGTAGCAGTGAACAAATGACACCGTTTTGAACGGAGAATCCCAACTGGTACTTGGTGTCAGGCCGTCGTATTCTCACCTCGACGACAGGTGGAGTGGACACAACAGTTAGTCGAACTGCCGTAGCTGTTCTAAACTCAATCACTTTCAAATCATGGAGTAGAATGTCAACAAGAAAAACCCACTTCACATTTTTTATATTAGCTTGAGCCGCTGATAATGGTAGACCAACTAGAGAAATTCCGTTGATATTGATTATCTGATCACCGATATTTAGCTGATTGGAACGCGCCGCAGGTCCAGAAGGATTCATGTGGGCTAGCACCACTGTTGGAAGCATTGATCCCCAACCGGATTCAACCTAAACTAGTGGTACTTCACCACTTAGTTACTAAAGATAAGAATTAATTTAACACAGGCAAGATTTCTTACCACCACTATTCCTAGTGGCTCCCCATTCTTTTTCGGAACGACCACATCTTTTTGTGTTTCCTTCCGTGCAAACATTTCTAGTTCATCGCCGAGAAGCTCTTGGGAGTTCAATACCTCCTTTAACATAGAACCTTCGGATGCTGACAGTTCGAATTAAGCAAAACTATTGTTCAGAAAGAAGCAAACCTGATAGTCGATTTGCCTTAGGTATGAGGGATCATCAATGCCGTTAGCTCGTAGAAACTCAACGTATGCCACCTATAAAACATGTGCGTTATATTTGGGAAAGTTGAGAAATCGTCCATGAAAGAAATTGAGCCCTCACCTGAAAGGCTTGCCCAATGGATTGCGCGATAAAAGACGCCTCATCGGATTCAAATACATGACATATTACTTTTGGTGCCTTCCGCACGCCAGCAACCCTGAAATTCACAAGGGACGATAGCTACTGCCACTTGAATGGGGCTCTTTTTGATAATACCAGGCTGCCTGGTAATCAACGCAGGATATCAACTGTGTAATCCCAACACTTTGATGACCACTTGACATGTAATGCAGTCGACAGAATTCAATAGTTAACAGTGACTTTTTAGCGCATTCTTTGCATTCCATTGATAACCTGTTGAACATTAATCCAATACTAATCCATTAAATCGACTGTTTCTAAAACCTCATAAAAAACATTCAAAATCAAATCCAAAAAAAAAGAATGGTCTTAGCCTAAAACGAGGTTGGTAGGCCAGGGCCATACACCGGTGTTTCGGAGGCTCGTCCTCCTCTTCAGTGACCCCCGCCCCACATTAAGCCCTGCATTGTAGCAAGGAGGGAGGCGTATGTGGTATGTGGTGATGGCATAGTGTACAATGACACTGGTCCATCACCATCAGTCGTTTAGGCTAAAAGCATTCTTTTTTTTGGAGTTATTTTGAATGTTTTTCACGAGGTTTTAGAAACAGTCGATTTAATGGATTAGTTTCTGGTCTACCAGCCAAAACCATCGACTGATGGTGATGGACCAGTGTCATTGTACACTATGCCATCACCATATACCACATACGCCTCCCTCCTTGCTACAATGCAGGGCTTAATGTGGGGCGGGGGTCACTGACGAGGAGGACGAGCCTCCGAGACACCGGTGTATGGCCCTGGCGTACCAACCTCGTTTTAGGCTAAAAACATTCCTTTTTTTGGATTTGATTAATCCAATATTAGGAGCCGCGATTTTCCTCATCTCAAATTGAATAAATCTTCTAAATTCTTTCGGCCCCAGCGAAATTAGGTGAGGACCACCGTTAGCTGATTTCCATCCGCATTCTGCGGAAACCGAGCCAGTTTTCAACTTCGAACCAACAAATCTCAGCTCATAGTACACTTCATCTATTTTAATATAGGTTATCAAAGTACACAGACGTATGTCTAAACGACAAAAATCCTTTTAGTTCTCATACAATCTAATGTTCTGACTCCATTTTCCGCAGTGTTATGATGCTTCGTATATTCTTAAGAGAACTGAGTGATGAGCAAATATATGACCTAAGACGGGAGTCGAACCCGCGTTTCATTCATAGTGGGGACGCGTGCTACTACTACACCACCGAGGCACATTTGCGCCACTGTTCATTCTTCAACACGTCTATGATAGCTATCAGCCACGAACCTTTAACAGGCTTAGTCGGGTATGCGATTTCGCTCTATAAACACATTTGAACCGACAGCTATTGTGATATGTAATACTCATAAATTCTAATGTCTTGACTACATTTTCAGCAGTGTTATGATGTTTCATACATGCCTAAGAGAACTGAGTGGTGGGCAAAAATACGGCCTCAGGCGGGATTCGAGCCCGCGTTTCATTCATACCGAGGACGGTGCTACAACTACTCCAGCGAGGCACATTTGCGCCACGACTCGTTCCTCAACATCTCTATGATAGCTATCAGTACCAACTTAATTCCTTTTGAATCTTCAACCAACTTTCTATAATTTTCAACACTAATGAATATAATGTGTGAATCATTGAAACTTGCTTGGCCGACTCGGGATGGGTAACAATACTAATGGTAGCAGTAGTAGTAATAACAATTCGATGACTAACGTTTCGGCGACTTCGCCTTTTTCAGAGCTTGGACGTTGAAAAAGCATTGCATAACATACGTTCAGGTTCTGCAGAAGGCTAAGTCATCGAATTGTCGACCATGAAAATTCTACTACTTACAATATATTTTTGAGCCGAGTTTTCTGAGCTCGCTCAACGACAGAGTTCGATTTTGCAAAATCAAACCTGACGCATGTGCAGTATAATGTAATTCAATTACATGAACAATATTTGGAATTTTATCATGTTCTGACAAAGTGTATATCGTTGCTCAATTGCTTTCATTTCAAAACTCAAACCTCGACGTGGAAAAAAGTGCACGGGATCCGTCCAGTTGACTTAAAAGCATCACAATTTTATTGTGGAAGAACAAGAAAGCCATTGACACGTAGGCAAATGCTTGCAGAGTTCAACAACTTCTAGTACAAACATAAATTTCAGTTTGAACTGAGAGTTGCTGGTTCAAAATCGAAAGCAGCTGCACTTTCTACATCGTGTGAATTGTAATAAACTGATGTGAGACCCTACGAGCCATGGAGTCGAGCTCATGGCGCACCTCCCAGTAACTGAACAGCTTCAAACATTTGGACCACTATTATTTTGCATGCTATATAGAAATGGGTTATTGTTAACTGACTGGTCACATTTCTCATCGCTACTGCTAGCAGACATTCTTCGAGCCATCAATACTACCAGATCGCCGATGTCTGCGATGTAGGAGATAGTACGCAGTGCATGATCCATCAATATATCCTGGACAATAGATTAAGATGTACGAGAATACTGGAAGTCGGTTTAGAACAATGAGGAAAAAACAAAGGATCAACAATGCGCTATCATTTGTAATCAGGTTCTTTTCGGTTATCCGTGAACAAATGAATATTCTATGTCATTCTTTGAAACTTTTCATGACTTTTCATAAGAGCGTCATTTATCATTTGAAGGCTTGAATCACTGGCTAGCGCGGTAAGTAGCCGGTTTTTCAAAACATCCTTTTATAACGATGTATAATCCAGATGAAATGATGTTTCACACGACCACGCGTTCTTTTCTTATCGCGCTTATATTTCGCTCGACGAAACCTCTTCTTTAGAATGCTACGACTCTTTCGATAGCACAATTCTCAAAAAACTCATAAAGCCTATGATAGCGCTGAAGGAGAAAGAAAACATCTGTGTTTTACACCTAGCCGGACAGAGCTGTTTCCTTAGAATATTAGTAATCATCCAATAGCTTAAGTTTAGGAATTCCAACGTTGTGCTTATTTTCTAGAAAGACCGTTTCACTGCAGTGGAGTAGAGGAATAAGACCGAGTTTCACATGCCGGCGCGCTTGTTTACCGGCTAACCTATGGACTAAGAGAAGGGACGGCAATCGATGATTTAACGTGTTAGACATGTGGGTGTAACTTGCTATTCAATTGGTAATTTCTTCTCCGGTCTGAAAAAAATCCAAATAAACCCATTGACTCAAATACTACGAGATTTCCTCTACACGTTCATATGCTTTCGGTGCTTCCAGCGAATTATACCTGTGATAGGAATGAGAGCGGAGGAGGGTGTGAAAAACAGTTTTATTTCGTATGCTACATTGTTGTAAAAGGGCCTTTTAGAAAAACGGCCACGTAGCGCTATAGTCAGAGAATTGAGCATTCGAATAGATACCGTTATTCCATGAAAACTTGTTGCCCACACAGAGAGGTCGTTTCTCCATGTTTTCACGGATAACGGAAAAGAAGTGCAATCACAATCAAGTGTCTAACTCAGTACACATAAATGCATAAAACGAAGTAAACACGGTGCTCATACCTGCCTGACATCGGTGTCCGATATTCTCTGAAATAAAATTGACAAGACAATAGATAAAAAAGGAAAATGGTATGCGAGGAACAAGAGAAAATGAATGAATCGTTGCACATATAAAATCACTTAGTGTGAAGAAGAATAACACCTTGAGATTACTGAAAATAGGTACTACCTGTAAGTCTGTATTGAGCACCATAATTTTCTCTGTTGAAATGAACAAATCAATTTCCGTGCTAGGCTGGATCTCTCCATCGGGAGCCTGAAATTCTTCCACTCATCGCTTGCCTGTTGCAGACAAAATAGTATTTCAGGCTAGCGAGAGAAGAACGTTTAGAACACTAAGATTCAAATAATACCTTCACTCTGCCAACGGCTTCTTGTGCTTGTGCCATTCTTGCCGTTTTGCTTCCTCGACTCTCGTACATCATTTGGGTCGAACCAAGGTAACGAGCACGGAACAGTACTCCTTCAATCAGAACGGCAGGTTCATGAACCATTGCTAAAATAGGACCTTGAAGCAAAAAATGTAAAACTTGTGGTGAACAGCACAACCAAAAAAGCTTAAAAATAGATAAATTGCCCAGTTGCACTACAAGAAACCTCACAAGTCAATTTTCGCATGATGACATAAGGTTGGCAACCCCCTCCCCCCCACCCCCCACAAAACTAGTTGATGTAAAATTATTGTCTTCTTGAGAAAAGATCATACGTTTATCTCGCAAGTTCTCCAATTTTGTAAGAATGACAGAGTATTAAACAAAACTGACAACAAGTCGAGATAATAGATAAAAAAATCACTAAATTAGAGTAGGAAAATGACATTTTAGAAATTGAAAATCATACTTTACAAACTATGGATTGAAAAAAACTACACTAACACTACTTGTATAATGATCGTCCATAATCCTGGAATAATATGGCCAAAAATAAAAAAATGAACTAACAGATAGAAAATGATTTGATAATCAATCCTAATTCGATCCTACTACGAAGATTCACTCAAACAATACTCTTCAAAGTGCTGTCATGTCATTCAAATCATAAAAAAGAGAATAAATCTTTATGAAAGAAAAACCCAATATTAAACTAATGCGCATCGTGCCGGTGAAACACTACGTCTATGACTTGAATCTTGAAAATTACTTTGCGACAGCACATAAATCTCAGTCCAAGTCCACCATGAAAACTAGCGGCAGTGAAATTCGAAGCCGTAAACTACTCCAAACAAACTAAAATCGGCGACCACTTCGATAAAACTGCAAATGCTCAATGGACCATTCAGGATTAACCTTTTTACCTCGTTATTTCGACAAACATGTGGGAAATCTATACCCCTTTGCGAACGGCCCATTTTCGGCTGGCGGGCGGCCTAGGACGGCTACGAAGAGAACCTGCCGGGCTTGCTCCGAGGCTAATGTGAAGTTTTCTAATGAAACTCGTACTTCGTTCGTCATCATGTGGGATTTCCGTATGAATAAATGGCCAGATATAATAGAACAGACCTCAATAAGGTTATCTTATTAGAAATAACGTAATTGCTCCATTCATAATGCACACTTTTGAAGGAAAAAACACAGTATTCATAAAAAGGCTGTATTTAGAAGCTTTACCGAACATTTGAACGATATTTTACTTATACTTACCTAGAATCCAATCGAATTTATCTTTTATTTCTCTCATCTTTCGGTACACTTTATTGCATGAAATGCATAAAATCAATCATACTGGCTGAAAATTGGAAAACAATGAGTAGTTCGATAAGGATAAGACATGTTTTGAGCCGATAGGTCTAGTGCTATATAGGCGCCTATTTCGTCCTATTGGGACTCATCAGTAGCACCCTCCCTCGGTTCCGTCGATCCCTTGAGGTTAAATGATCCTCTGAAGGAATCGACGCCGAGTAAAAACTAAGCACCCCAAGTCGGATGATGGTATTACCTGACTTTGTGGTGACCGGCAGTCGAGCTTGCGGCTTTTAAAATGAACCATACTTCTGCTATGGACCGCTTTTTTACAGACCCGCTCAAAACGATTTAATCTGATAAGGATATGACATGTTTTGAGCCGATAGGTCTAGTGCTATATAGACGCCTATTTCGTCCTATTGGGAAAAAGCGGTCCATAGCAGAAGTATGGTTCATTTTAAAAAGCCGCAAGCTCGATTGTCGGTCACCACAAAGTCAGGTAATACCATCATCCGACTTGGGGTGCTTAGTTTTTACTCGGTGTCGATTCCTTTAGAGGATTATCAAAACATGTCATATCCTTATCAGATTAAATCGTTTTGAGCGGGTCTGTAAAAAAGCGGTCCATAGCAGAAAATGAGTAGTTCGTCAAAAATAGTGCTGCTTGTTGCATGCGATCTCACTTCATCAATAATTCTTGATATTTTTTTGATTATTAGTGCAGTTCAGATTCCCATTTCTCAGATCAATGCACAATATCGTTCGAATTCTCTATTCACAGCGATGGTATGCGATGAAAAGATAGAGGTATAGCAGTTCTTTCCCGTTCTCTCCACTTTGTTTGAACCCTTCAGCAGAAACGTATAAGCGACGTTTCAGTAGTCATTCGAGAACTAGAATCAAGTGAATTTGAACGATGTACTTAAATTCCTAATTGGCCTGTTTTCTTCGCTGTAACAGTCAGAAAAAATTTTGCTTCACAATCAAGTATTTCTCGCCAAATAAAGCTTTTTTCA